ATGAATGGTGGAAGCAATCAAAGGAAAGTTGAGCTATTAAAAGAAAATCTTCAGCTCTCACCCTGCATTTTGTGTGCTGAAGTAAATCAATGTTTGTTCCATATGCCAGATTCTAACGCCAAATTTTGAACCTAGAAATGTTCTGGAATCACAGTTGCTAGAAAAAGTTGTAGTCCTTAAATATATGCATTTTAATGGGGAATAGCAGGTGATTTTGAAGGGATAGCTATCCGTGTGTTCAGTTATTATCGTTATTATGCATATTTCTAATGACAAATAAGAAAGAACTAGGAATGATGTTTCAGAAATGGGACAGTGTGAATTAATGGCTTATAAGCAGAAACCTATAATTAATAGAATAATTAATATTTCTTACCTTCACTCTTTGGAACATTGTTACATTTGTCGTCAAAATGAAATCCTTGACAACAAATGTAGCAACATTCAAAAGTACTTACAAAAAAAAAAAAAAAAAAAAAAAAAAAAAAATAAAAAAAAAAAAAGAAATAAAAAAAAAAAAAGAACACAAATGAACTTTGCAAAGTTTACTGATTGTATAAAACAACTTATTCAGATATTTGAAATACTTAATAAAAACTTGGATAGGCAGACCATGTTGACACTGTTCAGCAAAATTTGATGCCCTGACATCATAAGTTTTGACTATATATATATATATATATATATATATATATATATATAGCATAATGAGAAGCCACGTATACTTTCTTAATATGTATATATAGAAAAAGTTTCAAATTAAAAATTATAATGTTTTATTTTATGAAAGTATTTATTTATTTATATATATATATTTGATATTTCAAATTGTCCTCAATTTTTCATCAGAAATAACTGTTTAATTTTAAAATAAATTAAAAAACTGTTTATTTGATGAAAATTGAGGACAATTTGAAATTTCAAATATATATATAAATAAATAAATACTCATAAAATAAAACATTATAATTTTTAATTTGAAACTTTTATATATATATATATATATATATATATATATATATATATATATATATATATATAAACTTGTCAGCTGTCAATATACTTCATAACACTCTCAAGCGATTCACCTTGGAGTGGGTAGAATGGAGATCAACATGTTTTACTGGACTCAGCAGTTTTCAATCAGCTTGTCTGAATCATCTTCAAGATCTAAAAGGTCAGCCAATCTAACAGTGATATCATCTCACAATCCTCACTCTTGCTCCATATGTGGCCTCCTTTGTAAATCACTAGCGGGTCTTAAGTGCCACTTAAGATTATTGCACAAAAATTTCATAACTGAATCAATTAAGCTGTCAGATCCTCATACGTCAAAACCGATATATATATATATATATATATATATATATATATATATATATATATATATATATAATATTCATTTATTTATTTAATGTTCTATTTTTTAAATAAACATTATTACATTTGCCAGCCGGAATGTTCAAGAAATTTTATAGAAAATATCTATTCTCCAACAGGAATTGAACATGTGTCCTATATGGAAGGGTCAATCGATCTGGCATGCTATACTACACAACTATAGAGAAGTGTCTAGTTAGTAAAGTCTAAATTAATGGGGTTTTTTTTCAAGAAAGGTCATCGATGATTTGTTTAAAAACATTAATTTGGACTTTGCTAACAAGACATCTCTATAGCTGAGTGGTATAGCACGTCAGATCAAATGACAGCTCTGTATAGGACACAGTTTTGATTCCTGTAGGAAAACATTTACTATGAAATTTCTCAAACATTCAGGTCAGTAAATATAATTAACACTGATTATTTAAAAAAACAGAGCATTTACTTAAACAAATTGTTGAACTTAATCTATTTCAACATTAAAATATATATATATATATATATATATATATATATATATATATATATATATATATATATATATATATATATATAGAGAGAGAGAGAGATAGATAGATAGATAGATAGATAGATAGAGAGTTTCACAATTGCTGAAATGAAGCAACTGCCTCTCAGATCTTCCCCCTTGACTTGATTCTTTTTCTCTTTTCAGATTATTGCTGGGAAATAGTTAACAAAATCATGCCTTGGATGATGAAGCAGAAGAACTTTTGTGTGAAGACATATTGCAAAACTAAGTCTTTCAAGAGTGTTTCAAGCAAGATAAACAGAAGAAAGTTCAATTTCAACACACTTCCAAACAGGAATCAGATTTTCAACTTGTTCAAGAACTTTGAAGTTCATGGAACAATGGCAACCGTTTCCTCACCAGGAGGAATCTGTACACATTATCAACAACTTTACCTTCAACTGAGCAGCAGACATCTGGGACACATTCTCTAGGGGGTCCTCTTGACATTTTTGGTTCAGGTTTGAGACTAAATGGTTGCAGATCCTAAAATGTTATCCTTTTACCTTCCAATAAATGTAATTTCCATTAATCTATCATTTGGGGTCCCCATCATCATATTTCAAAAATTGTGAAATACCATATATTTTCAGATAAAGTTTATCTGTAAAATGACAATATGAATAAAGACAAAAGGAAAACTTATCTTAGATGATGTCAAGTTTTCCTTTTGTTGTTATTCATGTGTGTGTGAAGATTAACATGAGATGTTAACTTTTACCTTTTCTCAGTACTATATATTTGTCCCACCCCACTTTTCCTTCTTAATATTCAGCGATTGGCAAATCAAATTTTCATGATCAGTCATGTAACTTACTGAATATCTCTTTCAAGTATTTTAAAAAAAAAAAAAAAAAAAAAAAAAGGAGCTTCTGGTGTTAATAATAATGTTAATATTTGTATGAAATACAATTTTATTTGTTTACTAAAAATAAAATTAAACCTATTTCCTCATATTTTAATTTTTGAAACTTAAAATTAATTCTTAATATCAGACTTTTAATTTGATTTCTCAAAATAAAATCTTTTATTTAGATTGTGTTTTTTTTTTTTAATTCATTCTGTTAAAACCAGAAAGAGCTCTCAAAACAATATACAGAGTCCATAAATTTTCTTTACAGTTTAAAAAATATATTACAAAGGCAATTGATGAGAAATGTTAATCAGATTTGTTCTATGTATTCAGTAGTTATCAAAGTTTTTAATCACATTGCATTTGTGTATTTCAGGTATCCTGTTCATGAAAGACGTACTGTTAAATAAACCTCCTAATATTTCCAGACCAGTGGATTGAAAGGGATGACAATTCCCTGGCCACCTCGTTCACCAGATATCACTCTCCTGGACTACTTTTCATAGGGTTATCGATATCATGTACTGAACAAAGATACGGGACATCCCCGATCTAAAGCAAAAGATCATTGATGCCATGCTACAGCGAATATGGCAAGAAATTGAGTACCATCTTGTTGTACTTTGTACAACTAATGGTATCCATAAAGAGTATATCTACTCCTCACTTTGTAATAATTTCCACATATTTTTCTATTCATTTGCTTTTGTGATAATTTTTTTTAAAATTGTAAAGAGACTTTATGAATACCGTGTATAATAGGAAAATTAGGAAATGAGATTTTATATATATATATATCATAAATGTGATGTTGGAACATCCCACTGCCAAGTTCCTGACACTAATGCTGTTACAATTCCCAGAATATTAATGGAGGGCTACACAATTTTCATTTATTTGTATTTTTTTTTTGTTGTTTTTTTTTTTTAGTTAAATATTTTAGAGACAGAATGTCACACTATTCATTTTCAACAATTAGTTTATCTAATTTGAATCATTTCTTTGGTGAACTGGAACCTTTAAAAAAAAAAAAAGTGTGTCAAAAGGAGTTTTTCCTTTGACACCATTATTATTTTAACTACTTTCACTCTTCGGAAACGTTTTTTTAAAAGAAGTGATAATTAGAATTGTAACAAAACCTAAACATGAATGAAACGTCAATTTATACATTTTCTTTGTCTCTTGAGAATTTACAGAAAAACCAATAAATGCTATGTATTATATTGATCATTGGAATGGTTGGCCAATCAATTCAAACTTTATAAAATGGTAAATAATAAAGATTTCCTTATAGTTGGTTTGTATACGTTAATAATTTAGTAAATGTTTATAAATTTATGAATGAAAAATGGTTTTGATATTTATTTCTTTATAAATTGTTAAATGCTAAATATTTCATTAGTTTAAATTGTATTAGATTTTCAAATATAAAATTATTGTTGTAAATAAACAAATAGTGTTTAATATTTTTGTTGTAAATTCTCAAAAACAAAAAATGTATAAATTCACTTTCATCATATGTTTAGGTTTTATTACAATTTTAAGCATTGCATTTTAAAGCAAAAAACATTGCCTGGGAGCAAAGGTAGTTAAAATAACAGTGGTGTCAAGGGAAAAACCGACATTTTGACATTGTTTTTTTTGGGGGGCATGAAGGTCCAATTTTGCCATTTCCTTTTATAAGTCAAGGTCAAGCAGAAAGAGCGTAATAGTATCTGTCCAGTAATAGTTGGTACATTTTGTTCTTGAAATGTGTATACTAATGTAACAATTATTATGGGACAGAAGTAGTAAAAAAGAAAAAAATTACTTGTCTCATTATAGTTGATACATTAATGTATGAAATGTGAATACAAATGTACCAATTATTATGGAAGAAAGATAGGAAAAAATGCTGTTTCATAATAGGTAGTACATTTAGTGTATGAAATGTTTATGCAAATGTAACAGTCATTATAGGACAGATAATAATATGCAAAAATTTGTATATACTTACAGATTTCTGGTCACATGTGTCTATTTCAGATTGTATTAATTGGTTATGTATATGCATTAATTAAGACAATGTGTTTTTGTTTCTTTCGTACTCGGCAATTCATTTTAGAGGAAGGAGAGTAAAAACAGAAAGAAAAAAAAAGAAATCATAGTTTCATTTTGTCGCTCAGATTGGCAACGAAGTCCTCAACAAAATAACAAAATTAAAAAAAAAATGTCTTCGCCAGATATGAAGGAGATTGGTCAGGAGCTTACACAGCATTTCGGTTTGTGGGGCTCCTTACATTGTAGATCGGTCAGGCGGAAAGATTTACTTGACTCTACAAGAGACAAAAAAAACAAAAAAAAAAAAAAAGGAAAAAAAAATTAATTATCAACCAAAATAGATGAAAGCAAATACAAATGAAAGTCCAATGTCATGAAAGCAATTTAAGAAAAAAAATTATCCATCATTATTGAAACATTCCTTTTCATATCTGCTCCAAAAATTGAATACTTATAAGGGGAACGCAAATGTGACAGATGCATTATATAAAGCGAGGAAAGAAATTGTCTATACAAATAAACTGAAGTGTTTGTTTGTATGCTATAGACTCAGAAGCTACTGGATGGATTTCAACTAGATTCGACATGCAGATCATCTATAATGTTCCCTGGACCATAGCCTTTGTAAAGTTGACCTAGATCAACCCTGAAGATCATGAAAGGTTAAAAATAAGGTTAGAAAAAGCCATTTCTCATGGAGGTTTATCTTTATTCCCCACATAAAATAAATATAGTTATAAGGGAAATCAATCAACTTTGGGTAGGAAATTAATGCATAATTACCATAATTACTTCCTTAGTGAGATTATATATATATATATATATATATATATATATATATATATATATATATATATATTTAAAGATATTTTGTAGGTACAAAATTTAATGATCGAAATAAAAGTATAAAACTTAATTACGAGACATATTAAAAAAAAAAAAAACGAGTGAAGCAACTGGTTTCGCTCCCGCTCTTCAGGCTTCAATGGGAGATTTAAAATTAACACAGAAAAATGTACAATAAAAGGAATTGTAAAAAAAAAAAAAAAAAAAAAGGAAAAGGAACTAGAGACAAATGACAGCGAGTCCCAACAAACACTCACGTTATTTGCACAAAGAAGGCTTGCGGGACCCGATGTAAAAATATGCAAAAGGAACTATATATATATATATTAGGTTGGTGCAAAAATAAAAATAATCGTTTTTTGGCGTTAAAAATAGTGAAACAGTCTGTGGAGATTTTATATATATATATATATATAAAATATATATATATATATATATGTGTGTGTGTGTGTGTGTGTGTGTGTGTGTGTGTATTATATATATATATATATATATATATATATATATATATATATATATATATATATATATATATACTCTCATTAACTGGAACTTTTTATGAATTTATTACATCTCTTGAAAAGAACCTTTTAGTAGGCATATCTGTTGCCTCTTGACCCTTTGGCTTTTCTGGCATTTGGTGTTACCCCATCATAGGTCATTAAACACTTTGTTAAGGTATCTTCAAACTCAGTTGTTCTTTTTACACTTAGTCAATTTAATAATGTATACAAATAAAATGAAGTGCCTGGTTGCTTGCCTCTTTTTTTTTTTTTAAATTTATGAAGAAAAAAATAGTTCATCAGCAACATGGGGTACCTTCGCTAGTCTACAGAAAAATATTGCTAGAAACAAAGAAAAGACTACTGAACTGTTATAGAAATATCAGTCCTCCTATATGACAGTAAATGCTGAACAATCTCCTCACAGATGAAGACGAGTTCTTTTCTTATCAGAACAATCAGAGTGGGTTTTCTGAGCTGCAATGCCTTCATAATCACCATTAGGCTCATCCAACTCTTTCCAAATAGTCTGCACTGTCCTCAGATCGACTCCCAAACACTCCGAAATGTTTGTATCGAAGCTTCCAGCACAAATGCCAAGCAGTACAGCATGCCATTTCCAAATTTCTGGTGAAGTGTACAGCACTGTAGTGCTCTTTTTCTCACAGATGGGGCCCAACTGACCCTACTATATTGTTCAGTCAACAAAATAAAAAAAGCATGCATGAACAAAGTTAAAAATATAAAAATGGCGACAATTTACCCATCGCACCCTGTATATAATTTAGTTTTATTATTAGCATTGCAAGTGTCGACAAAAAAATGAGAATTTTTATTCATAAATACAAACTTAGAAAGTTTAAAAACTGCTAACAACAAATAAAAACCATGACTGTGTTCCCCTGCTTATGTGGCATGGTGCAGAGTCCTGTTGCCAGACATAGGGTCTTCCAGAAGTCATCCTCCTGACCTAGGACAGTACTACCTCCTCAAGGCACTTGATGTAGGCCTCTATGTTGAGTCTGAGGTTCTCACCTACAAATTCAGGTTTTTTTTCCTTATCAGAATGATCAGAGTGAATTTTTTGAGCTGCCATACATTTGTAATCACTATTAGACTCATGTAACTTTTTTCCAATCCTCTGCACTATCCTCAGATTGACACCTAAACACTCTGAAATATTCATATTGAAGCTTCCAACACAAATGTCAAGCAGTACAGCATGCTGTTTCCAAATTTCTGGCAGAGTTAATTACATCATGGTGCTCTTTTTCTCACAGACGAGGCCCAACTGACCCTACTATATTGTGCAGTCAATGAAATAAAAAACAAACAACACGCATGCACAAAATTAGAAATATAAAAATGGCGACAATTTACCCATCGAACCCTGTATTTGTTAGGTCCATAAAAAAATAAGAAAAAATTAATTAAAGTGTCAAAAAAATAATTATATCGATTATAATTATAATTAATTCACTCTTTCTAAACCAATGAGAATCGACCACAGTTTTCTCTTCTACATACACTGTGACAGAGCAAGAGTCTGGAAAAACACACGTATTTTTTTTTTTAGTGAAATTGGAGTAGATTTGAATAGTGAAATTAAATCAGAGCATTTTCTTTACTGATGAGGAAATCTGATCTAGAGCAGAAGTTGTACCCATTGAATCTAGGTCATCAGTAGACAATGGAAATGGTCGAAATAATTTTTATTGATTAAAAATTAAAATAGAGCTGAGTAAGCTAGAAGGAACTTTGGAATTCCCATGATTTTGGTTGAAGCAGCCAGAACCCCGTGATAATTGTGTGCGAAGTAGTAGGGTTGAGGGTCAGTTATAACCAGCCGGGTTTATCTATATAAACGCGTAGTTATGCTGAAAAAATGAGACGGGAGAAAAATTCTAGAAGAGAGAATTGGCCCAGGAGGAAGAAAGGAGTTGGAAGGAGGAACACCACTATAACTTTCAGCCCCGCACAGAAATCTTCATCCCTCCATCGCAAGAGTCATATATTATTCTGAGATGATTTAACAAGATAATCACATACACTCTCTCTCTGTCTAGAATCCAGTGTATGAGTTTTTACGTTAAATACTTTTCTTTTCTGTAACCTGTTTCTCTTCTCTACTATTCTTTTCTGCTATATAAAAGACATTAACAATTCAACCATTGAATCAATGTTTGTCCGACTTTCTGCAGATATTAATTTCTTTTTTTGCTGCATTCTAAATTTCTTAGGTCAGACTCCCCAGCCGTGTCTACATCTTCAGTCGACAGTGAATGGACGGACATCACTTCTGCTTTCTGGATCAAACAAATCACAACGTAGGCAGGAAGCAGGATTAAACCAGCGGACCGGTCGAATAATCTACGGATGCTAAGGATGGCTACACCCTTAAGTTCGGTTAGGACCGAGTAGACACCTCAACCTCGAGAGTAAGACGCCGAAGGTTGAGGGGCGGGGACGAAAGTGTTAGACACAAACACATGACACTCTCACTTTAGAAGAGCCAACATGTGGGTTGAGAAAACTTAGAAAGCCTTCCCTTTTTCAAGACGCAATGATAACATTCATCTCTTAACACTCAACAAAAAATCAAAGTAAGAAAACCCCAGACACTTTTTATTTTCCAACTAAATTATCTGGACACTCATTATACACATGTATAATAAAAATAAAAAATAAAAAACAACACATACGAGAAAGACGATATACTTTTTATTTATTCCTTATCTATCATTCTGTTGGATTCCGATCCATATTTGATCTACATTTACACTATTTACATTAAAAGACAAAGATGAGGACAATAGTCCAAATAATGTAAATAGTGTACATAATACCTCATCTCAGATATATAGACAGATACTGAAGAAGGCCACAGTGTACAACGGTCGAAACGTTGTAATAAATTTGGTGACAAAGATGAGGACAATAGTCTGAATAATGTAAATAGTATACATAATACCTCATCTTAGAAATATAGACAGATACTGACCTACATTTGACGCCAAACTCACAATTTTACTCAGTATTACTGTCTCTTGTTTCTCCAACACCACATAACAACGAGATGATAAATAATACTCATTTTGCTATTTCTGCATCTTGTTTTTTCTTATATTTATGAATATTTTTGCATATCTAAATGTTATGGGAAAATTACCGACTACCCATGAGTTGTGAGAGATTAACAATGAAGAAGACAAATGAACAGTTTAAAAAGGCATACTTTATATAATACATTATACACCAAACATGAGAAGAGAGAATTGCCAAACATATTCCTTTAGCAGTTAATATCATGGCATTGAGGACAATGTTCAAATACATGTATCTGTTTGAAATTGATTGAAACACTTATCTGAATTATCTGATCATATCTCCTCTTCCAATGGCTGCTTGTCTATGCATTATTCAGGTTTGCTTATGGCCAGAATTGGCTGTTCTTGGAGTAGGCTAAAACACCTTGGTGGTCTTCAAGCCTGTACGTTTGGCACCTAAAATCCATTTAGCAACTAAATTTAGGTCTTACCCATTATTATCAAATAAATGGACTCATCCCCCCCTATCAGGAGGTCTTTATCAACCAAGGAGAAATATCCTCTATTTTTCATAATATTATGGGGTTTGTAATTATACAACACCACTTTTCTCCTCTATGCACACAAACATGTGACATTCACTATCGGACAAGCAGTTGACACAGATAGGTCGTTGACATGTGTGTCAACAAAAATTTTGTCTCCTTTTCTTTTTTAGGCCATAATAGTAACATTTATCTTTTAACACAACAAAAATTCAAGGTAAAAAAAACCCAGACATTTCTTGTATTTTTTAAATTAAACTATCTGGACACTTATTACACATCTATTATATATATATATATATATATATATATATATATATATGAGAACGACTGT